TGAGTACTTACATACTGTTCTTATTTGAGTAAATGACAATACTTATTATAATTATTTGTGCAACTTTAATTAAAAGCAGTATGATAGCCAGGTGTGGTATGTAATCCTAGCACTTGGGAGGCTGAGGAAGGAGGACCGTTTCAAGTTCCACACCAGCCTAAGCTACAAAGTGAGCTCAAGGCCAGCCTGAACTGCATAGTGAGACTCTTATCAAAAAAAAGCAGTAAGATATAATTTTAATTCAAAGTTTATTTTTCTCTTCCGTCCTTCCTGCCACTCTAAAGGTCATTTTGTGCCTTAATACTCAATACTTAACACTTTAGTACTTAATACTAAATCCAGTGGTGAGATAGAAGCCAAAGCATGGTGTTCTGCGCACACCATTATCTAAATTACTTAACACTGGAAGGAGTATACTTGTCCATTATGTGTACATATACATACAATTACCTAAACAAAACCAGAAAACCAATAAACTTGAAATCGCTTCAATGGCCAGGCATGTAATCCCTGTAATAAGGGAGGCTGAGGCAGGTCACTGGATATTCAAGCCTTGAGAATACAGGCTTGTGTATAGATAGGGCTGGGCATGTAGCTGTGGGAAGGCCTTGGGTTTAAAATAGTCCTACAAAAATAGCATTGAACTTTAGTAAGATAATCTTATGTTTCAAAATACAGGAAAGCAAGGAATTGCCTTCTTTCTGAAACCAGAAACACTTGCAGGAACACAACTATCACAACTGAGTATGATCCAGAGAAGCAAAAAGCACCAACAAGGGGAAGATCATGGGTTTATGGTTAAAGTCAAAGTTATCTGCCTAAAAGTAACTATTTTCACACTGCAGTAGGTGAAATAACTGCTTCTCAAAGTTAGCAAACTGCATGATCCCAGGACAAAACTGAACTACTAAATCTTATGACAGAAGACAAAAAATCAGAATCAATACAGTATTCTTACGTAAATCTTATAATCACCATACTCTGCTCACTGTTCTAAGGTAGAAATGATATGAATCACCTAATGTCATGTTTACTGCCATCACAATGTTTTTAAAATTTTATTTAAAAGGAAAAAGAGAAAAACAAAACAAAACAAACCGGTATAAAGGTACAAGTAATACAGAACTACAAAAAAAAAAAAAAAAAAAAAAAAAAAAAAAAAAAAAAAAAACAGTAAGATATCACCAGTTAATAGATTACTCATTATTATCATATAGTTGCTCAAGTCACAGTATCAAAGCATACAAAGTGAACATTCAAACAGAAAGACTGCAGTTGTGTTCAATGATCCAACCAAAAACATTAATATGGTCAGCTATTTAACACCCCTAAACACACTTGCTGTTGTATCCTTTAGAGCACTTTTTTCCCTTCTCTTTTTTACAACAAAATTAACACATTCTGGGTTTTATTACTCCTTAGTTCTTATTACTTTTTTTTTGGAAGAGGATAAAGTCAAATATGGCAAAACAAAGCTGTCAGTCAAAACCAAGGATAGACATAGCACATGATGTAAAACAGAGTACAAGGTTATCAACAATGGTTACCATAATGTCTCTTGTTTCCTTAAAAAGAATTATCTATCTCATTAGGTATTATAAAGTTGAACAAAACAGTAGAGAACAAGACCAATAAAACTTAAACATTGTAAACATTACAGGAATTCCAAAGGAGATAATAATCAAACCAGAATGGGCATCTTAGTGAATCTTATTGCCTTCAAAGTAGTTGCCTATACCCTCAAACTTGATACTATCATACAGAATGGAATAGAGTCTAATCAGTCAAAACAAGATAGTGGGAGTATTACAGGACTTCAAAACAAGTTAATAGGAAATCAAAAAAAGTTACTATAATATATCCTCCTAATATTTAATTTTTCCCCTTAATTAAAAAAACCATAAAAAATAACTAAATAATTGTTTTAATGAATAAGGGAGATAGAAGAGGACATAACAACATAACAATACAGGTCAAAGCATGACTGTTTTAGCATGGAAATATTTGAAGCTATAGTATATGAAATTATATTCAAATATTTCAAGGAAAAATACAGACACTATGGTAACTACTATTAAGTCGGGTTATTTGTTGGTGAAGCACTAGGTTGCTGCCATCACAATTAATGAGACAGTAAAACAGAATTATTCAACTTGGTCTGAATTCAAATTTAGAAAACATCAAAATGTGCCACATGCAAAATCCTTAGATAATCCTAAATATGAAACATACCAGACTTGAAAGGATGTATGCTTTACCCTAAGGTGATAGCAAACCTTTTAGAGTTGTCAATGATACAAGCAGCCTGCTTTGGCACATGTGCCTTAAGTTCACCACCACTGTCTCTCATGGTTAAATAAAGACAAGGAACTCTGCTTCTAGGCTCTGATAACAAATACAGCAATTTTGTAGCTTCCCTGTTCCCAGTTCATCGTTCTTTAAGATGGGTAGAAAGAATATTCATTTTATAGGACTATTTTAAGAAAACTGGGTGTGGAGGCACAAGTCTATAATTCCAGCACTCAGGAGGCTGAGGTAGGAGAAACACCACCCACAAGCACTAGGCCAGCCTGGGTTCCAAGTTCAACAATCCCTTATTGTTCTCATATAAATTAAAATACAAGTTATCAATACAAATTCTAAAATTTGCCTTTCTTAAAAGGTTTAGTACTTTAACTGAATGTTGTCTGAATATAAAAACCAAAGTGTTTCATTCAATTTAATTATGATTTCAGGGACACTAAACTATTACACTATATGGGGTAAAAAAAAAATCTTGTTTTTGCAGAAACCTAGATGGTAAATAGAAAAGGAATCATCTCTTTACTTAAATTTTAGCTTTAAAAAGGGTTCAGGGTATCCAATGAATAATAAAGCCTATTTTCTTTTTTCTCTCTCACACACCATTTGAATATATCTAACCTAGTCAAATTCCCACATGATTATTGTCAAAGCCAAAATATTCTCATTTTAAAATTAAAACTGAAAGCAAGATATTTAACTGTCAGGTATATGTAGTATGAAAATAGTAAAACCTACACTCACTCACTTCATATAAAGTGGTTGCATGCCAGGAAAACAACGGAAATTACTATATAACAGTTTTAATAGTACATTTTAAAACTGTCACTATTTTTAAATGTGTAAATACTGCACATGCAATAACATCTGGTTTATGATACGTTTCTTTTTTAATTGTAATATAAACGTAGTTTCAGTATTTAAGTAGTTATGTCCAATAATGGGCCTGCAAGATTTTACAAGACAAGGTTATTTTTAATTTCACAATTAAATTTTATTTTTAAGCTTGTATTAAAAGGAATCTCAGACCAAATTCCAAATGTTGCTATTTTAAAAACAGAGCTACACTTTTTAAAAATGTCAGGTAATGAAGAATCATACAAAGCAATGTAAGTTCATGTATGAAGAATAACTACAATGGCTCTAACAGATGATGGTGTCAGCATATTTAATTATAAGACTGCCACCAGTCTTTAAGAGTTCAATTTAATGCTGAAGTGTTGGAAATTCTCCTACAATACAGGAATAACAGGGTGTTTCATCTATTGTTTCTTTTTAAAAATTACACGAGACGAGACACGTGATTCCTTATTTTTAATTAAAATATAACTTTCCACAGTAAAGTAGCACCTTAAATATATTGTAAATTAAAGAAGTATTTTCTTCATAATCCGTGCAAAAAGCTCTCTGGTAGGAAAATTTACTACTGGTAGCTAATTACAACTGAAAGAAATAGACACACTGGGTTTTGTGCCGCATATAAATATGTACAATTTTGTCATGTTGTACATTTGGAGAAAATCCACACCTCTTCTTCCCTTGCGACCATATCAAGGAGAAACCAACCACATATTCCCAGTTCCAAATTCGCGGTGGCATCATGCAACAGGCTTAATTTTGACCCACATTCGTCTTACACTAAATGAAAAATAATACCTTGTTTGTCTGCACCCTAATTGAAGAGGGGGTGGCAGCGTCTGCGGCTGGAACCAGGCGGACGCACCTGGCCCTCCCCGAGCCGAGGACCCGCCCCCCTCCCAAGTCCCCTGCAGACCCTGGAACACACGCCCCCCCACCACACACACGGCTCAACGCCCAGTCGGTTGCCGGCGTCCGGGCCCCGCCCCCGCCCCCGCCCCGCCGCCTCCGGGACTCACCGGGTGGAGTTCTGGGTCTTGCCCTGCAGCGCGCTGGCCTCTGGCCCTGGCAGCGCGGGCACTAGCGCGGCCCGGGTGGAGACGGGCCGGGCCCCGCCGGGCCGGGGGCAGGCTGCGGGCGGCGTCAGACTGCCGCGGTCGGCTCTTCAGCCATCGCTGCCGGGCGCGACCTGTGCGCAGCCGCAGTGCGGCCCGGGACGGCGGGGACGGCGAGGACGCGCCCGCGGGCGGACGGCGGCGGCGGGGCTGCGTGAGGGGCGGAGACGCCGGGTAACGGCTTGCGGCGTGGAGCGGCTCTGGGGTCTCCGCGGCGGCGAAGCAAGAGGAAGCGGGGTCGCCCTTCCCCCCGGGGCGGGTTGTTTCCGCCCGTGCCTGGCGGGCAGGCGGGCAGGTGAGGACCGGGACCGCCCGGGTGGAGCATCAGGAGCCGACCACGACACAGCTGGCCGTAGAGGCTCGGCAGTGGAACCTGGGTCGGATCCCCTCAGCCGGGCGCTTAGACCCCTCCGGATCTGCCCCACCGAGGCTGTCCAATCCCAGCCCTCGTCATCGCCTGTGAGAGCGGGCGCCAATCAGCGCGGTCTCCATAGGGCTTCCGGCGCACTAGCGCATCCACTCTGCGCCCTCTGCGTCCTGTGCCCCGCCCTCCAGGCGCGTTTGTCCGACCCGGTGCACCTTTCAGCTGCCCTCCATGGGCGCGCATCCTCCGTGCCCCGACCCACGCGTCTCTCCGCCTACCTTCACGCGAGTTTATCTTTCTCGTCCCCCACCCATGCACCTTCAGCCACCATGCACACCAGCGCATCGTCTCTCTGACGCCACACATGCATCTCTCCACCGTGTTCCATGCGAGGTCATCTTCCTCCATCCCCCCTACTCGTATCCTCTCCATTCACCCTCTGCATGAGTGCATCCACTATCTTCACCCTCACCAATGTACAACTTCATCTGCCGGGCTCCAGGTATTCACTCTCTTCTTTATCCCCACCAAGCCCCTCCAGTAGCTTCCCTCTTATATGCACTGTTCCCACCAGCCCAGGCTCTACATACAGTTCCTCTTGCCACATGCTAGCCCACCGCTGAAAGAAACGTGAAATGCAACAAGAAAGCTGAAGACAGCCAGCAAGGTGCCAGTTAGAACCAGGACGCTGATGGTCACACACACACACACACTCATAAGCCTCTTGAGAGTATGACCACCCGCGACAAACGACTCTGTTCCCTTTAGGAGCAGAATTGGCCTTCCTAGGTGAGGCTGGTCTGCAGGCATAGAAGATGGCAACCAAGGCTTCTTGCACTCTGTGAACAGCTGCCCAACCACTCTTATTGGCTTTAGGTTTCTTGACAGCCTTGGTCAGGCTTATACCTGTCTGCATTTCTGGTCACTTTCTGGCTGTGCATGGGCTTTGAGCTGTGAAATTCTGCCACCTTTCAGATTCCTCATGAGCAGTGAGTCTGCCTGGACTTTCCTGTTCCATACAATTACCTGCCATTGACCTGTGCTTGTGTCCTGGTTCACAGGCTCTCTCTGTGTGCTTGCACTTTAGCAGGTGGAAGGTGAGGGAGAACAATAGTGTGCAAACTTATGAGGGTCCAAGCCTTTTACGTTCCATGCACTTCAGATCCTCATTGCATGGATATCATAAGTTCCTTTTTTATAGCCCAAGGTCATGATTAGCTTGGCCACTTTATAAAACTACAGCTGGTACTAAAATTCAAAATATATATATGCCTTGGTGTCCTATGAAAAGACTATTTTTTCTGGACCTAATCAATAGACCTGCTGTACAGTAGACATTAGCTTGGAAGAAGAATAAAAATAGCTAGTACTTGTGGAACACTTTCAGAACTCTAGGCTAGCACTTTCCATATATTATCAGTTATATTTTCATAAAATTGTATAACTTAGATAATATTACACTTCCTGTTTTACAGATGAGATTTAGAGTGGCTGAATGGTTACAGTGTTACTAAATGTGAGATGGAAGATCAGAATCCTGCAAGTTTAATTCCACAGCCTGTGGTATAACTAGGATTACATAGAAAGTCATGAATGTGTTTGTCAACTCTGTGTCCGTGGAGAACACAAGGAAGTAAAGAGGTGGAAAAGTCACAAATTCCCCCTGGCTCTAATATTTTGTCCTGCCAGGAGAGAACAGTGGCTTCACGTTGTCCAACAAGGGCAAGTAACACCCTTAGACTGCTGACAACTCACTGAAGGAATGACGGAGATCTGCTAAAGTCCTTAAGGAAAAGACATTGAGAACCAAGATGTCTTTTAAAAAGTTTACAACTGGGTGTCACACAGGCTGGCTTCCCAAGTGCACCTTTTGTTGCCCTTGTTTAGTAAACAGCCACCTTGCCCCAGTAGCCAGAAGAGGGCTCGGTTGAGCTGCAACCTGAGATGCCCTTCTAGCATTGGTGCTGCCAGGAACCCTGTTGGGCCTTCTTGGGTCCCATCTATAATAACAGGGCTCCCACGTGGTACCACCAAAATAAAACTTCCTTTCAGGAAGGAAAGGGTCAACCCCCACTACTCAGCAGTTGTGAGTAGAGTGAGTGCTTTAGTACAGTATCAATGCTCTGCAAGGCTGAGGCCAAGAAGATTCCAAATTCTAGGCCAGCCTGAACAGAATAGCCAGACTCTGTCTCAAAATAAAAAGGTCTGGGATGTATAGCTAATTGGAGGAGCGCTTTCCTAGCATGTATGAGGCCCTGTGTTCAGTCTCCCACCTGATAGGGGTGAAAAGCCACGAAGAAGCTTGAGGGTGGATTGGGGACAATGAAGTTACCCAAATTTATAGTTGAAAATTTAAACCAAGCCCAGAGTGCCTAAGTAAAGGCCAGAGTGCAGTGATGTGTCTGTCCCCTCTGATGAGGAGTCCCTGTGCTAAGAGCCCTCACAGACTTCAAATGGTCTTCGTTTTCTCACATTTAGTTTGACTCAGTAAGAAGTAAACATGAATTCTCAAGATAATAGTAGATTTTAAGCTTCTTCCAACATTTGAAGAGTGTTTGTCCTATGCAAGAGTAAGAGGGGAAATTTTTTGAGGAATACTGATATAGTTGGAAAGGAAAACTCTAGCCTTAAAGATTTTGGAATTAAAAACCTTCTGTTTTCATTTCTATAAAAATGAAAATAACGTTGGAAGGGTGGTGCACATCTGTAATGCCAGCACTTGGCAGGCTGAGGCAGGAGGATTGCTGCAAGTTCAAGGCCAGCCTGAACTATGTGGCAAGACTTTGTCTCAAAAACAGCAATAGTACTAATAATGCAAATAAAGACCAACCCCACCAGGTTTTGTAAGGTGATATGTAAGCCACAGAAGAAGGGAAATTGCAAGATGGATTGTGAACACCTTAAAGGTGATACCATGTTTATTTCATCTTTTGTTCTAGGACATCGTTCCTGACTCCTGGAAGCTTCATACATGTATTTTAATTCAATGGCTACCTACTCATTTTTTGAGGTTGAGTTTTTGTGGGGTTTTTTTGGTTTTATTTTTGGTACCAGGGTTCAAACTCACGACTGCATGCTTGCAAGGCAGGTACTTATGCCACTGAGCTAAATCTCCTACCTATCCATTTGTTAACCTATACTGTCTTGCTCTCTTATGTCACTAAGCCATGTATTTTTCATGAAACTAAACTGTTTATACTTTCTGTGTAGCATGTACATTTATGATATACAGTATTCACCATGCCTAATACATGATAGTGTTATATACAGAAAATGTTAAAAAGCCACACAGCACCCAAGCTATTTGCCACAGGAGAGTTCTTGATCAGAACGGAAGGACCTTCAAACCTTGGTCTGAAATTGGGGCATAGCAGATAGATAGTGAGATAGGCAACTCTGGATGACATGACAGAAATCTTTGCCTGCACAAAGCAGAGGAAGTTGAGAGATTCAACAGATGGCATCTCAGAGAGTCCTAGATAGCTGAGCTATCTGGCCATAAACTGAAATACCACACCCAGCCCTGAAAAGGGAGAAGGAGGAAGTTTCATAATCAATTGGGAAGCCCCGAATACTACATACGAATTTCAATCTCCCATCCATCCTAACGTCCCCCATGGAGGATGAGTTCAGCTGCTCTGTTGAGGCACTTAAAGCCTAGGTGGTGGGGAGAGCTCCAAAGTCTGTGCTTTCTAGCCATTTGAAGAAGGTTTCCCCTGTTTAGCATTAAAAACTATAGTGCTGGTGATGTATACTGCTTCAGTAATCTACAACTCCTGAGTTGGATCTCTAGCATTGCCAAAAATAAAACAAAAGTAAAGCCAAACAAAACCTGTTAAAGCTATCTTTTAACTCCAAGAAGGATAAACATGTAATGCTCAAGAATCAGTGGAGAAGGAACTCATAGTTGTCTAAATATGGCATATATGTAAAAGTAACAATATAAAAGTAAAATATAGTTTAGATGGTGACAAATTTTTTCTGTGAAAGGCCAGCAGTCATTAATTCTGGTTTTGTAGTCTGTACATTCTTTTGTCAAAACTAGTCCAGTCCTGCTTCAATAATTAAAAAATGAATCCTCAGGTGAGGCTTCATACACTCAAAGCAGAGTATATAAAAGTCAGGTAACACCTTTACAAATCAGAATGTCAAAGCAAAGAGACTGTATTAGTGGCAGTCATGCTTTATATGGAAAGAAAACCTATAGCAAATAATAGGTAAATTAATAGCAGATCTTTTGAAATCAACAGGAAAATGGTTAAATTAAAGCCTCAATTTTCTGACTTTAAATAAATTTGATTGTTATTGTTTATTCAAGTGAAATATTATTCTGAAGTTAGGAAACTCCCAGGTTTTAAAGGAGAACATAATTAAAATAATGTAGTTAAGCAAACAAAGATTGAAAGTAGGACCAACAATAAGCACAAGATTTGGTGGAAAATGGTGAATGTGTATCATTCAAAATAAAACATACTGAATATAAAATTATAATGGTAACCATTAGAAGAGCAGAACATGTTTCTAAGTTACAATCTAGTGGGTTATCAAGATAAAATTTAAATATTAAATGTAAGTTATTAAATATAAAATAAAATATTCTAGATTGGACTTAATAATGTAATTCTAAAAGTCTTCCTTAAGTCACAAGGAAATATGCATCCTGAACACAAAAGTAAGAAAAATTATGCAAAGCAAATAGCAAGTAATAATTAGTTTGGGTAGTCATACACTTAGCTGGTAAAAAATTTGCATATAAAGCAACAGAACAGAATCATAAAAGATATTAATAAAAGTGAGAAAGTGGATGTGCTGAGACATAGTGCAGTTTTTTAAATGATAATAATGCTGATGAATTAAAAGCTTTGAAGAGATAAGCAGTTTTGCAGAAAAACAAATTCATGGGAAATGGAAATACTGAAATATTCATGATTTTAAACAATGTGTGTATTTTAAAAGTTTCTTTTCCCTTCTCAAAAAATGCAAAAGCAAAACTAAGAAAGCATAAGGTAAATATTTTCACAAATAAACAACTAAAAATCCAAGAAAAAATGTAATCATGAGGGTATACAAACACTTCTAGGGAAAAGAAGAAGGGACTGCAATGGCCAACACATAACGTAAGAGCAATAACTTTGATAACAAAAACAAGCAAGAGCCATTAGGAAAGAAAATTTCCAGCCAAATTTACTCATGAACCTATCTGGCAAAATAACAAAATACTTCAAAATGGCAAGTGACAAAATGCAAATTACATCTAAATTGCTAAAATGATTGAATATTGCAAAAGCTATGAACTAAATACTTTCTGCATTATAGCAGGGAATAAATATACATCTGGCAATAAAAACTGAAAAAATCATTGGTTAAATTTTAACACTTTATACAATTTGTAAAAAGCAATTTCAGCAACAGAAGACTATTACTATATAAATGGCCCTCCACAAAGCTAAGACTTATGAGTAATGTATGAGAAGGATTTCTTTAACAGTTATAAAGGAAAGATGGTTGTTACCACCTTTTTGATTCAATCGTATACTAAACATCCTAAACTAGGAGTTAGATGAAAAGAAAGAAAAAATCCTGAAAAGGAGATTTTAGGACAAAATAAAGAGAAAAGAAGTGCATATTCACAACATTTCATATAAGTTTCACAAAAAATGAGTTATTAAATATTTTAAAAGGGTATGGTAAAGTTTTGCTGAAAAATCATACATCTGTTAATGAAAGTAGAGAGATAAGCTATATCCCCTGGACCAATATATCTTAATTCTTTTCCCCCCACCCCCTCCTCTCCCTTCAGTCCCTCTTCCTCTCCTTATTTACAAAAGCTTTGTTTCCATTTTTCTCTTCAATTCACCCCCCCATTCACCTTCCCAGCTAAACATTTTACTTCCTCTTTCCCAGTATTTGTTATACATTTTGGTCCTTATTTACTCTTTAAGGATCAAAATATATAACAATTCAATATTTAAATGTGTGTCTAATTTATTTCACTAAATACTATGGTGTCAAGTGCATCCATTTATCCAGAAATGTCTCAAGTTTATCTTTGTTTATGGCAGAGTAGTACTCCATTGTATTTTTAAAAATAGACATCTTCTGTATCCATTCATCTATTGATGGGCACTGGGGCTGTTTTCAAGACTTAGTTGTTATAGACTTGCTGCTATAAACATGGGTGTGCATTTATTACTGTAGTATGATGTTTTTAATTCTTTTGGGAAGATACCAAGAAGAAAAATAGCTGGATCAAATGAAACCTCTGATTCTAGGAATTTTGAGAAATATCCACACTGATTTCCACAGTGGTTAATACTCTCACCAACAGAGGACAAGAGTTTCTCTCCACTGCCCCAACAGCATTTGGTGTTGGTTGATATCTTGATAACAACCATTCTTTCTGGAGTGAAATGGAATCAGCATTGTTTTAATTTGCATCTCTCGAATAAAGAGTTATGTTGAATATTGTTTGATATTCAACTGAGACATGTCCATTCATTGCAGATGCCCATTTTTTATTGTGTCTTTAGATTTGGAGAAATCTGGTTTTGTTAGTTCTTTTTATATTCTAGATATTAGTCCTTTGTCTGAGGAACAACTGGAAAAATTTTTCTCACTCTGTGGGTTGTCTTTTCACTCTATTGGTGGTTTCTTTTGCTGTGCAAAGCTTTATAATGAGATGAGATCCCAGCTGTTGCTTCTTTCTAAAATTTTCTGTGTGATCACGGTTTTATTCACAAAGTGTTTGCCTACACCAGTGTCTTCGTGGGTTCCATCTATTCTATTATCCAGCTGATACAGTGTTTCTGTTTTAATATTTAGATATTTGATCCATTTCAATTTTAGGTTAGTGCAAGGTGAAGAAATACTCAGTATTTTCTTAGATTATCTTTTCAGAAAACCTATAGATGAACTACAGTCTAGTAAGATAGTTCAAGGAATTTGTGGGTTGATTCTAAAATTTATATAAAATAATAAATGATCAAGAATTGTTTATTTTCAGTAACAACAACTGACTTGTCCCAGCTCATATCTAAACATACATGGTTTTCATAATTAATATAAAATTGGATTGGTGCATGAACAAACTAGTGAAACACAATAGAGTGTTCTTAACTACCTATATAGATAGGAAAATTTATTCAATGGAATGATGGGATTACAGATTGTTGGCTAAAGAATACACCATATAAGTGAAATAAGCCAGGCACAGAAAGACAATGCTGTATGATTTCATTTATACATGGAATTTGAAATACTTAATTCTCATTAGGAGAACAGAGTAGAAAGATGATTACTAAGGGATGGGGTTTGCAAGGGAAAGATGGAGGAAGGGAAGATGCTAATCAAAAGATACAAAGTCTCAGCTTTTATCTATTGCACCAAATACTGACTGTAGTAAATAATGATGTGTGTTTTCAAATATCTAAAAGAATATATTGAAATACATACATACTCACACAAAGTAAGTACTCATCCAATTGCACTTGCCAGGCAGGTGCTTAAAGTGCTGAGATAATCCCCAGCCCTAAGTTAATTGTTTTTATTGCATTGCTTACAATGTATAGATTGAAATATCACATTGTACTCTATAAATATTATGTGTCAGTTGAAAGGAAAACAATTTTAAAAAGAAAACTCAAGAAGTAGCATATTATTGCAAGACCATACAATAAGAGAAATTTTTTCAAATTAACTTTTCAAATACTCCTAGATCCTAAGACAATATTGGGAAACCTCCTGGTACTTAATGAACTCTCTGAATCTTGGATGAACCCAAAGTACTTTAGCATATCTCTTATAATGCAAATTTCCTATGAAGAAGTGACCATGTTGTTATAAGGTTATTGTGGAGAACAGCTAAACCTGGAGATCATTCACATATGTGGAACACCTAAGGTCAACAATAACAAAAACTGTTCCAGCTCCAAGAACACAGAGAACTGGAAGCAATCCAGACAGGTTGCTACATGGAGGGATGCCCCTGACATCAACCTGCTGAATGTATAAATAAATGTGCTACAGTCATTGAGCAGTTCCTTTCACTCATCCAGAGAGAAGGCTCCACCTGATCTCAGCTTTCTGTTTCCTGATTCTTGTCTTTATTTCTTAATCCTCTATCACCCTTCACTCCAAGAATTTTGAGAGCTGCACTGAATGTGGCATATTGGTGTCTGAACATGGACTTGGAGTATGAAGAAATAGCGGGTAATGGAACACCTCTGAAAGAGTGTGTATGAACAAAAACAGGCTCAAGAGAGCATAGAGGAAAGAGGTATATTGATACTGATTTCATCAGGTTTAAAACACGGGATGATACTATTTCCTCCAAGAAAATAGCTTCCTTACATGTGTATTATAGCAAACCTACAACGTGGCTTACTAAATGTGTTTTTTTATCCATTTTCCCTAACTGATATGTTAAGTGACCTAATTGATATGTTTGGCAATACTCTCCTCTGTAAAGAATTGCAAGAATCTCACATAATTGATATGTTAACCATTGTTGCCCTCTACAAACTACAGAAATTGTACTAAAACAAGCTAACAAGGGTTGTTTATCACTGTTAGGCGCCTCTATTCTCCACTAAAGAGCTAAAGAAAACTGGGATGGCCCACTAATTTACACTTGTTTGAAGTAACTTGCTTGTGTGCAGAGAGATTTGCGTATGAGTTTAACCCTTTACCTGACCTTGATTCCCTTCCCAGAAAGGCGCCTTCTCCCCTTACTTATCTATCTAGGCTAGGCCATAAAGAATTTGGGTTTCTGGTGACCTCTTCCCAACCTGGTAATGATCTGTCATAAAATGAGCCTGCCCCAATTTTAAGAATTGTGTAGCTTCATAGAAATTACCGGGAAATACTATGGCCCAAACCCCAATCGGTGCTTTCCTTTTGTTCTGTATGCATCAAATGAATTAGATATCAGATCTTTGTAAAACTTAAGTTTCAGCTTCTGGTAACTCTTGAAACCTTTGCACCCACTAGTGAAAATGAGCTGTCCTGGGATAATTAACTCTCCACTTTCTTCTCCAAATATTGCTGCAGATGTGCCACTCTGAGCTAATGTCAGTCTGTAGGATGGGAGTAATATGAGAAACACCAGGAACTCCCGAGATTGTCAGAGCTAAGTGGACAACAATACAGTTTCCAGATTCGGGTCAACAAGTTTATGGCTCTGCAGGTTTCTTTGTTTCTCCCCCCACCCCTTTTCCTCCAGCTTCTTTTTAAAGTCCTCCCTTCAGTCTCTAGCACACAGTCTCCAAATTAGCTCCTGGAGACTCGTCGCCAAGCCTGGAAATAAAGCCTTTGCTACCTAAATTGTCGGTCTCTTGCTTTCTTGGATTTTATACCGGGGCCTGAGTTATAACAATTTGTAAATAGAGAGGCTTGTTGTACTGTTATTTCTGTATTCACTTTTTTCTGTGGACTTGGATTAGGGAGTGTCTTCATGGTCATACACTCATGGAGATGACCATCGAGGATTTTGGCTCAGAGCACTATTTTAAAACTAAGTCCTGAGCAGAAAAAAGATTGTGGGGCAACAGCCTTATCCCCACCAGCTTAGGCCCTCTTGCTTTGCTCAATCATATAGGGAAGGAGCTGTGGGGGACAAGAAAGGCCTTTCCCCATTAGAGTGTTTCACTTAGGCTTTGGTTTTATAGCCACCCAAGGTAAAATTGATAACCTTAACTGAACCACAAGCATATAATTCTCCCTTTTCAGTTCAGAGAAATTTTGCTGCATCACAGGTTGAAATTTTCATCTTCCTCCCTTGCAAATGCTGCTAGAGCAGCCCAATGTGAAAAGGCGCCCATGGAGGGATTTCAGCATATCTACTCTGTTACTGAACTCCAAGGCCCCAAATAATACATCTTCATGAAGCTATGCACTTTAAGACATTAAAAAGAGTTAAAATAAGCTGCCATTATCTATGGCCCCATGGGCCCTTTTACTTTCGGTTTAATAGAGCTCCTATGACTACATATTATAACCCAAATGATTGGAAAAAATAGCTAAAGCATATTTGAGTTTGGGAGATTATTTATTGTGGAAGGAAATGTTGTTGATTTGTATACAGATCAGGGTACTTACACAGCCAGCTCAGTGCAGCACAATACCATTAAGGGGCATGGGCCAAGCAGAGAGAGGGCCCTTTGCTCTGGCCCTAGGCAGACTTATTCAGGGTCTCAGGCCCTTTGTGTGCCCCACTCAGTTTAGACCCCAGGAGCCATACCAGCCCAAATTGTAGGAGAAAAAAGTTTTTTTTTTTTTTAAGGCAGCCATAGCTGAGCATTTAGCTCAGTGGCATAAGCGCCTGCCTTGCAAAAGTGGGGTTGTGAGTTTGATCCCACACCATATTAAAAAAAAAAAGGCAGCCATGACTGCAGAGGCAATGACTGTAGTGTCCTCTAGGAAGTGGGGCATGAGCAAACCCAGCCTGGGCTGGAGCCCATCCTGACAGTGTGGCAGGCACTGATTCCCTCCTGTCCATCAACACCAAAACATCGGTGCCAAACTGTGAGGCTTAGGGGCAGCAGTCTTCCCCTCAGGACGATAAGCCATTACAACTGTTGCTACCATGGGAGATCACCTGTAGTCCTGAGGCAGCAGGGTGGGAGCTACAGAGTTGGAAGCAGCCCTGGGTACCCAAATAAAGGATACATGGTTTTAGTTTCTTCTTCCCCAAAAGCCAGATTATAGGCTTTTTAATGGGCCTTGCAAGATTTTATATCCATTCCAATTAACCTCTTTTCAGATGGATGTTATGTTTGTGGTGTGATGAGCCATGTCAAAATTGCCACTACAGGCTGGAACTGAGAGAAGCCAACCCACAAGCCAACTAACCAGCCTTTTTAGTGAGCTGTGCAAGCCATGTGGGGCCCAGAAGGAGAAAAGTCAACACCTCTGCTGAGCCTACTGGCACACGGGCTGAGACTCACACTCCCATCCCCCACCCTGGTAAGCAACAATCTGGTTTGGAGGACAAATGGAATTGGTGGCAACTGAAGTACAAGGAGTAGCTGAGTGCTTGTATTGTTTGGTTGACTTTGCAATCCTGGGGCCAGTGGTCTGAGCATCTATAGGGAGGATAACAGTGTGCAGTGTAGAAAATATGGGAGATTTCTTTGTATCTTGTTTTTGAAGTCCAATATTGTTCTCACTGTTTTGTTCTGATTGTTTTGCTTTATTCAATATTCTGTTTTGATTGTTTTTATTCTGTTTTGTTTGGGCTTGATTTTGCTATATCTGATGGAATGGACAACTATTGTGAAAATAACAAGATGTACTATTGTAGCAACTGTTGTTTTCCTATTGTCCTGGTTTGAAGTTCTGTACCAATTTCACTGCTTGGTTTTGACTGGATTTATTCCATTTTGTTTGTTGGGTTTTATTATCTTTGACATAAAATAAAAAGTAAAATAAAATTGGCACAACACACACTGGCCAAAATGATCTTTTTCTTTTATGTCACATTTTCCAATTTGCAATTCAGTCATGCCATGCCCCCTGTTTCATTGGTCATTTATGTTCTCATTACCAATTGCCAGGGAAATGCAACAATAGAGATTGCTGGCTACTGTCACTGTTGCTCCCTCAGACACCATTCAACAGGCTTCTGCCTCCCATGCTACCTTCCATCAGGATGCTTCTACCTCGCACAGACATTTCCTTTTAACCTAGGAATAGTCTTAACAAATTGTTTAACACTACCTATGGGGGTTAATCTCCAATGCTTACATCTTAATCATCTCCGGCAAGTGAATGTAATTCACATTCCTGAGTTTGGCTATTTACACTGGGTCCACATTTCAGTAGATACTTCCTCAGGATTTATTTTTGCTTCTGCCCACACTGGTGAAGCAGCTAAACATAAAATAGTCATCGCCTTGATGCTGTTAGTGCCCTTGACTGCTGCAGGCACTTAAGACTGACAATGGCCCAACTTATAGAAGTGCTGCCTCCAAAACATTTTGTAAAATATTTCATATTTCCCTTACCATAGGAATTCCTTATAATGCTCAAGGTCACGGAATTGTTGGATGTGCTCACTACATGCTAAAAGCTCAACTACAAAAAAATCAGAGGAATCCTTCCCTATAAAATTTCACACCTCATAATAGACATTCTTGGCAGTATATACAGTTAACTTTTTAAATCTTACTAGGAATGGAACTAGGTAAAGGAAAAGAAGCTAGGAAGTACCCTTTGGAAAGATCTTCATTTTGGACAATGGTAGGAGCCAGCTATGTGCTAATTTGAGGTTAAGGGTATGCTTGTGTCTTTCCAGAGGACATTGAACAGCCTATCTGGGTACCAGAGCATGCTGTCTGGCTGTATAGTTGACCCAGACCTGGAAAAGGAGTTGGTTCCACCTTTCAAGAAGTTGATTTTCCTGTGGCTTGATGCCTCAGACACTACATCACAACTGATAGGCAAGGGGATGGGTCTAAACCCAACCTGAGGATAATTAAAGAGATTGAGCTGGGATGCCCAGGAGATGGCAACTAAAAATGGGAATCAGAGGTCTGAGTAAGTGATAAGAGTATAGAGAAAACTGAGCTGAAAACTACATGAAAGAAAGGGATATGAAAGTTTCCAGTATTTTTAAGACAAAACAAAATACAGAAAATATATTGTCAGTAAAAGATTTTACTCCTTCCAAATTCTTCTTGTACTCTCTGCTAACTGACCGAAGAAAATATGACTAGATTATTTATAATTGCAAACTTCCAAAATTGTAAAAGTTATTATGATGCAATTTAGCAAAAATACATTTGGGCACACTCATATTGTAAGCAGAATGTCTATATTTTTGTTGCTTTGGTGTATCTGTGAATAACTTTATTTTTTATTTGAATACAACAATTTTTTTCTTTTCTTTTTCTCTTTCACATTTATAGATCATTTGTTTAAAATTTAATTTGGGTTATATTTCCAGCTGGGTTGCTGGCTAGTCATTGTGGTATCAAAATTGGTTTTCTCAGAGGTTATCAGAGATGTGTTAAGGTAACTAAATGGAAACCCTTCAGGCTTGGGGAATTATTGGTCAAGGGTCCCTCTGAAAAATAAAGAAGTGTATGCCTCTAGGTATTTGTCCAGTTATTGTTCATCAGTAGGAAGTACCAATGATCTCCATACCCTTATGGGAGACACACCAATAAAAGTTATTAAAAATATATTATTGGGATATGTTTACATTGGTCATTGTTAAAAGATTAAGTTTTCTAAACATTAGGGTTTTATTTAAAAATGCTGTGGTTTAAAGGATTTCTTGTTGCTATGATGATTGTTATTAATCTCATAGTGTATTAACTGTATTCATGCCTTCAGATGTATAGGCCTTCCAAAATGTTAAACAGGGATTGTTTGAGGTGATAGACGTTTATTTCAGATTTAGATCTCTACCTTTAACAAAAGCTTATGTGATGTATATGCTATTTATGCACCTATATATTTAGAGATGCTAGACATTATACATTCCAGATGATGCCCCAAATTTTTTCAATGACATTCCATTAAAGGTCAACAAGTTAGGGACTTGGGATATAGTTTAGCAGCATAGCACCTGCCTGGAAAGCACAAAGTCCTGAGTTCAATTCCTGATACTCAGGGGCACAAAAAGGATAAACAGGTTATATAAAAGCTTTTTATGTACTAGATAAAGATTATTGACTAAAAAGGCTATTTTATGTTAAAATGGAAATTTAGGTGTGTTACAAAAATGTCATCAAAATTGTCATGTTACAATATTATGTATGGCTTTTGATTTCAAGTTTTGTGTGCAAAACTATATAACTGTTGTCTGTTAGCATTCTACAGGAATCCAACTACCAAAACATCCATAACTGATAGGAGCTAATGGCTCTATTTTCAATTTCAAGGTGCTTTAGAATCAAATAAAATTATAATAGTTAAGTTCACTGCTCCAAATATATTGTAAGATCATTAAACTTCTCTTTTGGGTGTTCAACAACTGAGGTTTGGAGACCAAAAACTAGAATGATAGATGGGTTAGGAGGACAGCCAATATTTTGGCTCCAGCCTTGGAAGATCAATAAGAACACAACACATGAGAGAAGTCTTTAGCAATATCCTACAACTCTGGTGAGTTATACAAACTCTGGACTAAGGAGATTGTGGGACCACAGCCCAAACTGATCAACAATGTATAGTGTGCCTAAGGGGAGTCACCAGGAGAGAAAAACCTCCCATGCTTTCACAGAAAGCAACTTGGTCACACAATAACAGTGACTCATCCAGATAGCAGACACTGACAGGAGAACTGAGAGGTGATATAGATGGTTCCAAGGCAAATACTAAGGAGACTTAACTGACTTTATAGCTAGCAAAAAATAATTTTATTTTTAAATTAAAAATAAAAGACAGAATGAAACAAAAAATGAATAGAAGAAAATAATAAAGATCCAAAAACACAAACTATCAATGTAGTTTTTCATATAGATTAACATTTTGATTCTTAAATTTTTGTAAAAATAAAAGACTCAGAATAGTCTAAACAACTGTGACAAAGAAGCAAAATTAGAGCTCCAACCCTCCCCAGTTGCACAACTGATCAAAAATTTGCACCAGTCATGACAAAATGGCATTGATATCAATATAGACAGATCACCAAGTACCAATATGAAGTCCCAAAATAGATACCCACATGACAGACACTTGATTTCTGGCAAAGATGCAAAAGTAATTAAGCGGAGAAAGGATTGTACCTTCAATAAATATACTGAAACAACTAGATATCCACATGCAAAAACCCAGATCTTATAGTACATTAAAAATTTCTTAAAACACCCAAAAGTGAAATCAAAATGGCTCACAGTGGGTTAGTAAAGTGAAGGCAGGTGTGGCCTGGGTCATTGCTTGGCTGAAGTAATTCTCTCTGGGACAAAATACATGTTTTTTTTCTTATAATACTAATGAAACAATGTGATGATTATGCATATGTGACATATTTATTTCACTAATAATTATATTTTCAAGGTGCACCCATCTACCTATAAAATGTCCAGTTTATCATTCTTTATAGATGAATAGTATTCCATTATTAGGGAATACCACATCTTTTATATCCATTCCTCAGTCAGTGGGCATTTAGGTTGTTTCCAAGATCTGGCTATTATATACTCTGCTGCTATAAACATGGGTGAACATATATTGCTGTGGTATGTTTATAATTCTTTTGGGAAGATACCCAGAAGGAGAATAGTTGGGTTGAATGGGAACTCAAATCAATTGAGGAATTGCCATGCTGATTTCTACAGTGGTTGCACCAGTGAATACTCCCACCAACAATGAAGGCGAGTTTCTCTCTACTGCCCCACCAGTGCTTGGTGTTGGTTGATTTCTTGGTAATAGCCATTCTTTCTGGAGCGACGTGAAATCTCAGTGCTGCTTTAATTTGCATTTCTCGAATGACCAGTGCTGTTTGACATTTTTTCATGTATTTATTTTCTGTATGTACTTCTTCATCTGAGAGGTGTGTTTATCTCAGATGCCCATTTTTGGATTGGATCTTTAAATCTGGGAGGATTGATTTTATTGAGTTCTTTATATGTTCTCAATAATAATCATTTATCTGAGGAACTGCCGACAAATACTTTATGCAACATAATGTGTTGTCTCTTCACTCTGTTAGTGGTTTCTCTTGCTTTTAGTAGGATGAGAACCCATTTGTTGATTCATAAAGTCTTTTCCTATACCAGTGTCTTCAAGAGTTTTACCTACTTTGTCTTCTAGCAGATTTAATATTTTATATTAAGATTTTAATATATTTTTATTTTAGCATAGTATATGATGAAAAATATGTGTCAGGTTTTAATCTTTGGCATGTGGAAAGCCAGTTTTTTGACCACCATTTATTAAACAGACTATCTGTGTTCTAATTAATGTGTTTGGCATCTTTGTCAAAGATAAGGCAGCTTAGTGTGTCTGCAGTTATTTCTGCATCTTCTAATCTATTCCACTGATCTTGTGGTCCATTTTTTTGCCAGTACCACACTGTTTTATCACAGAAGCTTTACTGTATAATTTCAAGTCAGGGATTGTGATTTCCCTGGTCTTGTCCTTGTTGCCCAGGATAGCCTTTACTATTCTAGGTCTCTTTTGATTCCAGATTAATTTGAGGATTTTTTCTCTAATACTGTAAGATATGTTATTTGGATTGCATTGAACCTGCTTAACACTTTTGGAAGTATGGCTATTTTCACAATATTGATTCTTCCTACCCAACAGCTTTTTCTAATATCCTCATCAGTCTCCTTTTTGGACTACTATAGTTTTCAATGTAGAAGACTTTGTATATTTTTTGTTAGATAAATTCCTAGGTATTTCATTTTTTGGATGTTAATTTAAATGTTATAGTTTCCCTGATTTTTCTCTCAGAGAGTTTGTTATTAGTATACAAGAAGGCTATTTATTTT